AATAAACACTGTGAACTGTATTAATCACTGCAATAACAACAATTGGGTTAAGACAGGCTAACTAATTTTTAAGATTCATATTGTCTTACCTTGCTCAATCGCGAATACGGCAACAAAAACCACGAACACTTTCATTGTCTGCATCTCGGTTTCTCTCTTGGTTATTTCTTCTTTATATCTTGGTTATCGTATGCTGTTGACTCGCGACTGCCTTTATATACTTTTTCTGTCACGGCTTAACCAAATTTTTCACCTGACTGAGAAGATGAATTTCCTCATACGTTTAGAAGGAAAACCGCGTAATGACAAGCCTTCTTCATATTCCGCGAGGTACGCCGAAACAATTATGTATAAATTTCGAAAGAGCACGCCCCATTAAGAAGTGCATTTTCGTTTTAATGGCTTTATAACTCTTACTGCAAGGAAAGCACAATGATGCGTCTACGATTAAGGAAAGGATAGGAATAATGGCAATTAATAGAAGGGTTGGTCGTAGAATTAGGCGACCATAATGTTCTTGTCTCTCTCTGTAAACACTTTGTCCAAATTTCATCGCGCAATGGTTAATTCACAAAATCAGTTAATATTTAACACCTTTCCCTGGTTATCACATTATTTGAAAAGGTAGCATCAAAATTGTCTTTGAGTGAAAGGATACTGCTTTTTATTTATGATAATTTAGAAATTTACTTTTAAAAAATGATTTGTAGAGTAGCCTTTTTGTAGGAAATGCATAATGTTTTCATTCAGAAAGCAATCAAAATTATTTTAATTTCAATGTGCTTTAATTCACATTTTACAAAGAAAATATCCGTTCAAATAGATAGGACCTACAATTAACATCAAAGATACATTTGTCACAAAAATCATGTTTAATAAACCTTTGTATATAACAGATATTTTAGGAAAATTAAATGCCTCGGGGGTGACTCACTTTTTATCGTTTGATCGGATTTTTTTTCTATCAGGAAAAAGTAAAAAATAAACCTTTGTATATAACAGATATTTTAGGAAAATAAAATGCCTCGTGAGTGATTCACTTTTTATCGTTTTATTTTTTTCTACCAGGAAAAACCGTTTCGCAGAAAATGAGGGCGTTTGAATCCATGTCCTTGAGCATGTCCACTATGCATCAGTGATCCGTTTACGGCTATTTTCAAGTTCTGTCAAGTCACAGGGACACCTTTATGTGTTATCAGGACAGTCGGTTTCGCTGTACAAAACCTGTCGGTTTCTCTGTACAATGACCGAGAAGTTAAATTTCCTCATACGTTTAAAAGGAAAACCGCGTAAAGACAAGCCTTCTTCATATTCAGCGAGTTTCGCCAAAACAATTCGAAAAAAGAAATTCGACATAGCACGCCCCGTATTGAAGTGCGTTTTATTTTTAATGGCTTTGTAACTCTTACTGCATGAAAAACACAGTGATGCGTCCACGATTAAGGAAAGGAAAGGAATAATGGCAATTTATAGAAGGGTTGGTCGTACATGTAGAATTAGGCGACCATAATGTTTTGGACTAACTCTGTAAACGCATTGTCCAAAATTCATCGCATAATGGTTTATTTACAAAATCAGTTAACATTCAACACCTTTCCCTGGTTATCACCTTATTAAAAAAGGTAGCATGTAAGGTTGTCTTTGCGTGAAAGGCTGGGCTACTGCTATTAATTTATGATAATTTAGAAATTTACTTTTAAAAGTGGATTGTAGAGTAGCCTTTTTGTAGGAAATGCACAGTTTTCATTCAGAAAGCAATCAAAATTATTTGAATTTTAATCTGCTTTAATTCACATTTAACAAAGAAAATATCCGTTCAAACAGATACAGTTAACGTCAGAGATATATTTGTCACCAAAATCATGTTTAATAATTTAGGAAAATAAGATGCCTCGTGAGTGACTCACTTTTTATTTATTTATTTATTTTTTAACCAGGAAAAAACGTTTCGCAGAAATTGAGGGCGTTTGAATCCATGTCCTTGGACATGTCCACTATGCATCCGTGATCCGTTTACGGTTTTTTTTTTTAAGTTCTATGAAATCCCAGGGACGCCTTTATGTGTTTTCAGGACAGTCGATTTCTCTGTACAATACCTAAGGTTTGCGTGACGGAAATAAAGAAAAGTTTGGTGTAGTCAAACGACATTTTATGGCGACAACTTTCCCCAGAGCTTATTTACGCACATGCGCATTCTGCACACGCTCAATTTTACACAAGAGGGATAGTCTCCATTGAGGCACATGTTGATACTTATATCATGGGGCCTCACTGCCTGACACCATTTTGCGCTCAATTCATTCTGTTGAAGCGCACGATACGATTAAGCTACAAGTTATCTCCAACCTTCAACTTAAATCTTCAAGTAAAAAATGAAAACTATCCAGCAGTTAACTAAATCTATTGAAACCTTACAGCAGGTTTACAACATTTAACGACAGTGAAAGATTCTGTATAACTTCAAGCAGGGATCAACAATACAATTGCCGACTGCTACATGAATGGGGTAGAGTCTAAGTTATTTTCTTGTGTATAGAATCTACAGTGTTGTCGTGAACTATACGTGAAATATACGTGCGGGAGCCTCCCACTTCGTGCCCCAAAATGACACGACTTGCCACGACAAAATCGGGGCCAAAAGTCGTGCAAATGTCAGTCTTGCATAACTTGTTATAAAATACGAGTTGAAAGAAAAAACATTGTGAGAGAACTTTTTATAAAATATTGAAAAAGTGAAAAATATTTTCGAAGTCTGGTCCCTGAGAAATCTTCCAATAATAGGAAAGGTAACAGTAAAAACTTAAATATTTCCAAACTTAGTGCATATATGACCACATGTTTAAAACCGCATCACTTGGTAATAGGTAAATGTGTCCTATATGATGAAAAATAATGTGAATTATTGAACTATATCCTTGGACAGCTCTTCACCCAATAGACATTTACGTGGGTCCCTACATCATTCCGTATTGTCCAAGTGTAACCGAATGTTTAACAGATAACCCTTATATATGACATATTGCGCCGTACACACGCTCTTGATATGCGAGGATATTCCGGTGTTTGTATGTGCGCGGGTGTGCGTGTGTGTGTGTGTTTAAGAGGTAGAGAGAACTGATGAATATATGAACAGGTATCGATCTCGGTAACATAATTTATGGTGCCAGGTTGTAACTTTTGCTGCTGACGTGGAAGATTGTAGGTCTTGAAGGTCATAAACGTAAGAATATTTATTTGCTTTTGTGTAGCAATTCTTATGAAATAAATTGTTGGCCATAAGAGGAAGGGTTAAAAGTGACAAGTCAACGGGTTAGGAGATGCAAATTTACAAATTACATTTTAGAACGCGTGGGAGGGAGGAAATCTGGACACACTAAACATTTGCAGAATGTACTCGATCGCTGACGGTAAATACAGACTTGACATTTAATATGGAATATTTCAGTTTCAAATATATACATTGGTAAAAATGCATTCTTTTTTCATTCAGATCTCATATAGGGTATATGACTAGAGAGATGTGAAGTCAGGTGTGTCGCTACGAATTAACTAACTACCATGTCTGTTGCACTTCTGCATTGGGTATTAGGTAGTGCTCTTTTTTTGGCTGGCCAAAGCTTGACTTTGGCGAAGCACGGTTCTGTCAAAAAAGTATCCATTTGTCGACAACTACTGCATCAAAGAATTTGAAATTTTGCATGCAAGTGGTCGGTTTTGCAGTGAGTAAAATGAGTTAAGAAGCGTTTTACAAAATTGTTAAGCTGTACAGAATGGCGCAAAAAAGACAGGCATTGCCAGACAGATTGCTGTGTCACACCTAACGGTCCGCACAGCTTTATACAGTTATGCCCAGACTGATGTACCTACAATGAAGCCACGCCCAATGTATCGAAATCTTACCACCAGGGTACAGGACTCACTGTTCTTCGGAATATGCTGCTGCAACTAAACAAAATCACCCAGTCCGTTCAGAATAAAGGGCAAATTTCCTCCAAAACGCGTTTTCAAGGCTCTCAGCAAACACCAAACTGGTTATAGCAGGTTTGGATTCCAGACGGCCTCTGACGAAGCTACTATATACAGCAAAACATTTCTCTAATGTATTAACTGAAACCGCGTGGTTTTCTTTATTGATGTCAGCTTTCACCTGTACCGCTCAACTAGTCAAAACAGAGTTTACAGGCATCCTGAATAGGCCCACGAAGAAGAGTCTGCCGCTTCTTAAGTGACAAGGGTCATTAATAGCGTCAGTATTTGGAGTGGGTACCACGTTGGTGCCAAAACACCAATGGTAGTCATCGATAAAAACCTGAACCAGATCAAATAAAGGAATATTCTGGGAATTACTTGGTTACATTTGATAGGGGGCACCTTAGGAACAATTTGGAGATGAGATTGCCAGTTCTTACAGAGTACTTTTAGTCACAGAGAACTTACGTACATTGTAACAAAGGGAATGAGCAGCTACCTTGGTCATCAAAATCGCCATTTCTGAACCACATAGGCAATATTTGGGTTACTGGCTAAAATCAACGGCCTGCAACAAAACTGAACCAAATTGGACAAGTTTTGCCTGGAATTTTATTCCACATTAAACTCTAAAGACCTATCCCAAGGAATGCCTTGCCGCTTGAAAGCCCTGGTAGCAGCCAGATGAGGTCAGGCGTAACAGCGACCGTTGCTGTGACAAGACACTGACACGAAGGTCCTTTGTGTGGCGTGTAACTCTTTTAAAGACGCTAAAATATGGAGATCCAAAATGTCGCTTTCAATGGTTGTCGTATGACTTAGAATAGGCAATGTATTTTTGGTTGCTTCACTGGCGAATTCAATTAATTTTTTTTTTATTTCATGTTTTTTTTTATTAAACATATATAAACACAATACAGCACATTACAAAGAAGACAAACATACAAGAACATGCAATACATCACAGAATCTGAAATCACATTTCAGTACAAATACAAAAACGATACACTACATCAGTACAGTTTTATAACTTAATACAATACATACACTTTTATGGGTGCACAGTCACTGAAATATTATTTTAATATTGTAGAACGTACAATACAATATACAAAATTCTTCAGTACATTACAGAGTACATTACAAACTGAACAATACGTGAACAAAGCAAGGTGATACTGTGCACCACTATAAGAACTAGAGATATTATAAATTGTGTGTCTTAATATAATATAGTGTATATGCACATTCGTACACACATTTTTCACATACAGCCTCACACATCCGAAGGCGCACGCACACTGTAGTGCACACAAATACTTATAATACAGATGCTCAGTCACTGAAATACTGATCTTATTTTGAGCAAGAAATAAAAATACATATTATAAACAGTTTTGTTTTGTTATTCCGCTAATATCTTATATCAATATATTGATATCTTATCAATACAAATCTGTTGTATGTTAGTTCGTTTCGCTTGAGGATACATGTATAATGAGAACCTGGTAATATTTCCATAGCATCTGACATATTGTATTAACCCTACCCAAGTGGGGGGGTCGGATCTGGACCTGCATATGCTTATGTATTTCTTAGTTATCAATGTGAGGAAATACAGGCCTTCTATTTTGAATTGTTGTACAAGACCAAATAAGAACACTTTGGGATGCCTCTCTATATTCACCTTCATACTTTCCCTTATAGCATTAATAAGGCAAGTCCAGATATTTTGTTCGTATGGACATTCCCAAAATACATGATATATTGTCTCTTTGGCAATATTACAAAACTCGCACCGCTGAGATTCTTTTTTCTTTATTTTCATTAAGTATGAATTCAATTAATTAGGTGATGACACCATGACATCAAATATATTATTAAAAGTTATTAAAACACTATTTCAATCTTTATTTTCATTTATCAGTCAGCGAAGTAGGAAAAAACTGACAAAATATGGTTTAGAAAAAATATTCCATATTAAATGTCAAGTCTGTATTATAAATCGACCTTATAATCCAAGTGATTAAAATACATGTTCGGGAATGTATAATGCAAAGCTACAGGTACTACGTGTTTTTCGATTGGCTTTGGTAAGTGCACCGATATTGCAAATCATTTTTATTAAACACGCTTGAACGAAAGGTTGTTGAAGAAACCGGAACTCAGGCGGGGTCGGCTCAGGTTGTAAGCCATTCTGGCTGCCGTCTTCAACTGACTGTACGAGTCTGAGCGGAATACACACCCGCTGTCCCCGATCTGATTGAGCTCCACGTCGTTGACGGAATTGCCGACGCCAACAACACAAACCGTGACACCTGTAACAAAATTGTGGAAGTGTTTTTTAAATATAGTAAAATCAGGCGCAATGATATTATTTTGACGTAAGCGGGGAAAAATACATTACATATAGTTGCCGAAATACACCATGGTGTACAATCTGCGATTTAAGCAGTGCAAAAAGCAGTACAGGTTCCGAGAAAAGTGTTTAAGAGGGGATATCTCACGCAGCGCAAATTTGATAAATATGAGTGCAAATAAGATATGAAAATGCACATCTGGTACCTGCTAGATCAATGGGAAGAAGATTCCAGGACCACCCTATTTACTTAAAGCGCATTCAGCACAGCGGACCAACAGATCTGCAGATCAAACATGGCGACTCATTTAAAAGCTTGCCGCTTAATTCCCGATAAGACACTAAATAGGTTCCCCGCGAGTATTACGCAACAAGCATTCAAGTGGATCGGCCATATTTGATCCGCGGATCTGTTATTCCGTTGAGTTTCTATGCGATCTAAGCAAAATGAAGCTAGTTTCTTTACCATTCGCTCTAAGGTCATCCGCGGGAATCTTAGGTTTCACTCCGGAGTTTGATTTTCCGTCTGTGATTACCCACACCACTCTAACGTTGCCAGGACGACTTTTGGCATTCATTTCTGTTTTAGCCAACTGCAGTGCGGGGCCGGTTGCAGTGGCACTGCCTGAAATAAATTTCGTTGTGATACAGAATTTCTAACCTTTAAAAATGGTAAAAGTCAGTTAAGAATCAAAGTTATTGAGTTTAGGTGATCCAAAGCGCAACACAAGCTCTGCATTGTCTGCAATTATGATAACTCTCCGAGCACTATTGCGAGGCCTGCAAAAATAGTCCCATGATGTTTGTAATTCCAATTTAAACCTACAGGGTTACCACTTAATATGGAATATTATTTTTTGGCGAGTAAATTTTCTACAAACTATTTAATTTCTCTCTAACTACTTTAAATCCAAATCTGAGGTGTCACTCCATGTGTAGCCAGGTGTGTTACCTAATTACCACACAACTCTCGAAACAATTGATGCATGCAGTTGCATGTTCTGTGGTCAGAAATGTGAGGGGTGGTCTTTTTGGCAATTTCTGCCCTTGTATAAAAACGCATGGGTTTGGTCAATCTTTGGAGTGTGTTTAGAGAAGCAACAAAGGGATCGCTCTGAAACTTGACAGGTACCTTAGTGAAGATATGGTTCGACAGCTAAGCAACGCAGCTTACTATGGGATTCTTGCTCTCAGAGAAAATGGCCAGGTAATTCAACATTTATCAGGAACCGTTTGTGAAGTCCTCAAAAGAAATGCTGCAGCAGGGGCACCTACTCCAATACCTCGACCAGGGTGTCCGCGTATCACACCAAGAAGACAGGATCGCCTTCTCTTTAGAGGACGCCGTGCTGATCGTACAAAGACAACCAGTGTCCTCAGAAAAGAGAGGCAGAATGTCATTCAAACGCCCGTTTCAAGGTCCCACGTGAACAAGAGATTTCTGCAAGCCGTTTATTTTGCACGAAGGCCAGTAGGGAAACCACTGTTAACAGCAGGTCATATACAGGGACGTCTGCAATGGGCTGGGGACCACGTGCGTTTGCAGCCAAAACACTGGAAGCACGTCGTTTTCAGTAATGAGGCCAGATATGGATTTTTTAGGGTTGATCGTCGAATCCGTGTCCACTGACGTGTACGAGGGGCATAAAACAATAATTGTGTACTGCCTAGGGTGCAAGTAGGGGATGGTAACGTCTCTGTTTGGGGAGCATTTCATGTCGGTGCCCAGAACCAGTTTTTCTAGGAGGCAACCTCATCCAGGATTCCTACAGAGACATTCTACAGCAAACAATGCTTCGATTGGTAAGAGTCATCTTCAGGAACAACTTTGTGTACCAAGACGACTGCGCAACCCCACATCGAGGCCGCAGAATCACTGTTTTTCTTCAAAACCAATGGGTTCAGCAACTGCCCTGGCCTGCAAACTCTCCAGATATGAACCCAATTGAAAATCTGTGGGCGGAAGTAACTCACAGAATTAAAAGCTATGGTCCTCGGCCGGTAAATAGTGATGAACTGCGACAGGCAAATATCACTGCGTAAAATGATATCCCCACCCAAACTCTAAAAAAACGTGTCACAGGGTATGCCATGTAGGATGAGGGCGCTGGAAGCGGCTGCTGGAGGTCATACCCGCAATTACTGACTTTTCATGATTTACTGTAGTGAGTTCTTTGACTGTGTAACACCCCATCTCCATAGATTAGATCGACCTACTTTAGATCGACCTAACTCCCTGGGGGTTCACGCTAAATAGCTGTCAGCCGGGCGGACACGAAAGTTAATTACACCCTTACAGCTTGTAGTAGGCGGGACGGACATTTAAGTCGGATTATCTGAAAGTAACCTAGTGAGACTCCCTGCGGGGACAGATCGATCTAAAATCTATGGGAATAGAGCCTAAGATATCGCTGTCCGGAGGCTATCATTTTCTTTAATATCTTATCTTAAAGTTTATACTGACATCAAACTGTTGATATGGTTTTCTGTGGTTTTCTTTTCTTTTGAATGACATCTTATGTCAGATTTGATATTATTGACCAAAATATCTCACAACAGAAGACTGGATGTTATTATCACTCAGTGACATACTTTTTTAATGACTCAAGTCAAAAAAAATTAATCAGCACTCAAAAATAACAATGATAAAAAATATTCCATAT